TTTTTGACGGGGTTCGATTTCTGGCCGAACCTTAGCATTTTTCCTCACCGAACCCGAACCCTGCACCAACACTATGTGCGCTGTGGCTGTTGGATTCGTCACGGAAATCAGATTTGTTCGGAAGTGTAAATAAACATGCATTTTAGCGGAGGTTTATATCCTCTTGCTCTCTGTCCCTCTTCGGGTGCGCTGAGGTCTCTTCCTGGTCATGTGATCCCCGCGATCCAATTAGCTCTAGTTATACAGGCGGCAGTAGCTCAGTTGGTAGAGCGTTGGCCTTTGAGCCAACGCTGGGTTCAAGCCCCGCTCAAGACTTTCACCATCGACTCCCACTGTCTGCTGTCGTTATGTCCTTGGCAAGACACTTAACCTCTGGGAACACCAGGCACAGTGGGGCGGCTGCGGCTGTAAAGTGCCAAACTGCCGTTGTGTCCTTAGGCAAGACACTTCACCCCCATTGCCTAGAATGAGTCTGGCGTGTGTGTGAATGGTTGGTGGTGGTCGGAGGGGCCGATGGCACATACTGGTTGCCTCGCTTCTGTCAGTGTGCCCCAGGGCACCTGTGGCTACAGTAGTAGTTTATCACCACCGTGTATGGAGTGAATGAATAATGACACATGTGAAGCGTCTTTGAGTGTCCAAAAAAGCACTATATAAAACCGATGCATTATTATTATTATTATACGTCGGTGCAAGGGGATGTTATGATTCTTGTTTTCACCTGTAATGCGGTTCTGATGGATCATAAACTAACTGCCTATTCACCAACTTTGTGGAGCCGATTACCAGTGCCAGGTACTTGTCATCTGAGCTGTGTATGACTGTAGAAGCAGAGTTGGTGAGTCCGTGTTTAGGCAACTAGCCTCTTAGCATTAGCTTGTCTCTACGAGTTTGGCATATTTCTCAAATGTCCATATATGTAATGTTTTGACCTGAACCAGTGGAAGCTATTTATGCATGTATGGTGCTTTAGCTCTTAATTTTACATGACACGCACAGTAATATATGTACTTTATCACTGAAGTTTTACACTGCTGTGAACTGAATGTATTTGTGTTTAATGATAAGCGGGATGATTATAAATGTTATAATAATAGATTCTGGTCGAGCTACATGTCCAATTTGCAATGCCCATTCGTCTCGTGGTGGTAAGGACCCTAAACAGTACACAACATCGCCAGTTCGCCGCTGTTAAAACATTTGCGTATGAAACATCAATGACCTGAGGATGGAATAGGATTCGGTATTTGGGTTCGGATTCGGCAGAATCTTAACCAGTGGATTCGGTATTCGGCCGAACCCCAAAAACCCCCAAAAACCGGGATTCGGTACATCCCTAATATATATATATGAAATGAAATGAAATTAAATGAAATGAAATAAAAAATAAATGTATATGCGTCAATAGTGTAAGTATTATAGAGCATATCGGCTTGGCATGTATGAAGTATTACAGTATAATATTATTTCTGTTAATATGGAGTGGAGCCTTAGATAAAGATACAACATCTTTTAGTTTAGACTGAAATGTATTGTATTGTTAAGAAATAAATTATATCTAATTGTATCAAATTGAAAGTCTCTCTGTATCTAGATTTGTATCATATCGCAAGTGAAACATTCATGCGTTGCTCTAAAACCAACAGAGTGTAAACTACTTCCTGATTTAGCCATTATGTGCTGCCTCTTTTTTTCTAATTTAACTTTAAGTCTATTCAGGTTTAATTCGGCCCAATTGGAGTCTTGATCTGGATTCTCCGGGGAATGTGAAAATCCTGTGTTACGGACAGAGCACTCCCCGTTCTCCCAGTGTGTGAGTGGCCGGATTCTTGGCCCAATCTCACCGAGGTCTGATGGGTCATTATCTAAGTGCAGATAGGGTTACCGGGGCGATAAACACACGGTCGATTCTATGTGAGCTATTAACAGAGCGAGGCCAGGAGCAGAGCCAGAGAAAGACTACTGCAGACTGTACTGGATGTCAGAGCTGCTTCAACGTGTATAGACGGTACATATTTGATTCTGAAATAAGGTTGAGTGTAAGAAATATGAATAGGCTTTAGGGTTACGCCTTATATATACTGTAGGCCATGCTTTTTGTACTGAAAAATATGAAAAAACCAGTGCAATTCATTATTGTGAGAATATTTGCATACTTCTTTACTGAATATACTGGATAAAGATGAACTGTAGTGTAAGAGACAATGAGAATGAGCAACACCATCCTCTCTATTGATTTCGAAATCCAACATGGTGCAGTCTAGTTGAAGATCTAATACAAGCATGTCCAAACTCAGGGCCGCAGGCCAAATGCGGCCCTCTGTGCCATTTTATGTGGCCCTCTGCTGCAAACACAAAGTTGCCATTGAGGCACTTTGACAGTTTTTGATTCTATTTTTATGTACTGACAGTTGTTTTATGATTCAACCACATTCTACATAAAATCCAGTCATTGCAGCTCAAATCCGTTTTCATCTGAATACAGAGCTTCAGAAAGCGCTGATTGTCTGGAAGTGGCTGCTTTTAAACTGCCCCTTTTGCAGTGGGTCAGTGGGTTGTCAAGGGCTGGCCGGGCTGTGTGATTGGCAGAGGCTCGAGGCTGGCAGCGCTGAGCAATTGGCGGGGCTCGAGAGGCTGGCAGGCCCTGGACGGGTGAGAGCCGATGCCGGTCTTTCAGTCTGAATTTGCGCTTTCAGCTTCATTTTTTTTTTAATCCTGGGGTTGTTGGCCCCAGGTCAAGTCTGATGAACTAAAGTACTAAAGCTTTCTTAGTAAAAAGTTTGGACAGCCCTGGTCTAATAGAACATAATTTTACTGGAAAAAACAAAAACAAAACATGAGGCAATAAATTACATTCTAACAAACAAGGGTGCATTCAATTAGACTGCGCCATGTTGGGTTTTGAAACGTAGCTCCCTCCTTCCCAGACTGAGGTGTTGAATTTTAGGATTTCTCCTATTTGAGGCATCTTCAGGCAATGTGTTCTAGTGGTTTTTCTAGTACTACACTGAAATCTACCAGAGCTATTGGAACTATACATAAGCTATTAGACACTTCAGACAGAACAGTTGACCTCAGAATAGCCAGCTGTAAAGTGTAAATAGTGTTAGTTTGTGGCCGAGTAGATTATAATTGACAACAACGCTTAGTCTTAGTGGAAGTGGCATTGTAAATACATGTGTGGTTACTTTGAATATTAACCATGTTTGGGTCTTAAGTCTATGGCCATAACGGTACTTTCCCTGGAGTTTTGTGGTCTGTGAACTAGCCTGCTGCGTGGGCATTTGTGGTCATTCTCCCACACATTTAAGAGGAGGTCAGTGAGAAGCTGAGGACAGGAGACGTACGGCAGCAGAGAGGCACAGACACAGCAGACAACAGCACATGTGAGTTAAAAGGACTGGAATTCAGACAATAAATACAGCAATTCAAAAAAGGACAGAATGAAGGGGTTCCTTTTTAAACTGGAAATGTATAGTCTTGTACGAACTGGATATTTTTCAACAGCAGTCAAAAGAGAAACTAAAGTGTGCCTCGGTTAATGGCAAGCTAATAGGTTGTGTTCATGTCCTAGAATTGTATCTCCGTCGGAGTGCAGGTGCCATTACATCTCTATGGGAAACAAGCAATTTGAGATGTTGAGAAATCATGCATATATTTTTTTTTAATATTGTCACCACTTCTTGACACATTTATGAAGAAATAATTAGGCCATAGTTGATGGCCTAATTCATGTGGAATTGGCCAGGAAAGGTATAGTTAGGTATTCTAACTGTCAGTTACCATAGTTACGATAAAAAAAAAATTGTATCTACCCTCCACCACAATATTAATCTATAGGCTCTTTGGAATAATGTTATGTCACATAGACGCAACCAATCAGACAATCATCTTAATTTGTGTTCTTGGATCTTTTGACTGCATTTGTAAACTTTTTCAAATTTCTTAATAGAAGGGTTGGGACAAGATCTCATGTCACAAAATCCTGCATGGGTAAATTGCCACAAGATTGTGTACACGAATAGATTATGATCTGTAACGATTATTCTGCAATGTTTACATGCAGCTTGGGCAAAACATGGCTTAAATGAATGGGCTGAGTTGTAGTTCCCAAAAGCAGTGCAATGACAGCAAAGATATGAAAGAATGCAGATTGTAATATATAACACAGCCATTGCATTTCTTTGTCCAAATCTGAACCATAATTTATATAATAGGAAAATAATCAACATTTTTGCTGCCTTTCACATTGACTCATTGACTTTAGCTGTAGACACCTTTGGTTTGTGTCACAAAAGGTCTCATTCAAAATAAGACCTTACACAATTGGCATTCAAAATTATCCATTAAGAAAATAACTGTTCTCCAAAACTACAGTCATTATTTTGAATCACCTGGCTGGTCACCTAAACACTGAATACTCTTGGGATGAAAGACTGATTTGTTACAAGCCCATAGTTCTTATTCAAATCCGATACTCCAAATCCTGATAGAGAGTAACATGACCACAAGAACATGTGGTCATACATACACTGACGACCAGATTCATGAAAAAGGTCTAGAAATCAAATACTCTGACCCATTTCTGAACCAGTTCTTTGGTTTCCTACTCCAAAAATGATGGAAACTGGTTCTCGTTATTGGCCCTGAACAGAGCCTGAAAGTAAGTAATAAAGTAAAGTAAAAAGTAAAAGTTAAAATTTAGTAAAAACTAATTGGTTGAACTGCTAATGAATGCTAACTGATGATAGTTAACAATGGGATAAGCCCAGGGCCTGACCTGAACCAAACCTGCCCAGAACATCAGATTCAGTTCCTGCACCCCTATTGTACAATAACATCTCTATAAAAACGGCTTGGAAAGTGTATTTCGTTCCTCCCCTACTGACTGGTTTAACATAAACAAGTGAATTTGCACCAAAGCTTCAAATCCTTTTAACTCATGCCACACATACACACACGCATACACACACGCACACACACATGCACAGGCCCCTCACCCTCGCCCAGGCAGCAGGTAAACTTTGACAAAGGGGTCGGAGTAGCCGTCGTTGTCCCGCGGGGCCAAGTTTCTGGCCTGCAGCACGTGTACGATCAGGTTTCCCAGGTTCCTGTCATAGTTGATTTGCAGCTATGGAAAACAGAATGGACAGATGCACAGGTGTCAGGCCTGGTGACGTCTACATGATAATGACCGCAAATGACTAATAATCCTAGTAGGACATACTGTATTTTATTTAACAACCCATCCTTTAGTATTCTTACATTGATGTTCTATGTTGAACCAAGATTATTTGACTAGTTTTGTTATTTTACTAGTTTCAGACAATTTTCAACACATTTCTTAATCTGAGAAAAACTGTCAATGTGGTTAAAACAATATAATGTCTTCATTTAGGCTAAAGTTCCATATAACAGTGAAGTATCCAAGGTAACCCAATCAAACTCCATTATAGTAAAATTATGGCTAATTATTGAGTCATACTAAGACAAAAGTGTAGTTGATTTTTTCACATACCTGGATCTCGCCAGTGATGGGGTGCGGTGCTCTCATCAGCTCAGCCTTCACAAAGTAGATGCAATAAAAGACATGTTACTGAAGCTGTGTATACTTAACAGAAGATCACATGAACGCACACAATCATAATAATAACATGAATGAAAAGTCTCAGCTGGTAGCCAATACATTTTTAGCACAAGCAGAGAAAGAGTGAGGGGGGCTAGTTTGCAATGCTTTGTGGCTAAAACAATCTCTCCCATTGAGAACTAGGACTAACAGATAGACCAAATGGAGTTTTCTTTGATCTTCATCCACAGATCCATTTGTCGTCATCATTGGATAGCAATTGGAAAGCTTTTTACTCAACTGACAGAAAAACCCTGCAGACTTTTTCTTGCCGAGTCATTTTCATACTGTTGAACATGATTTGATTGTCTGAAATAGTCTCTCGAGTTCAAGAAGGTTAATTGGACTCGACCCGACTTACATATTGCTTTTCCTTTTGAATAAAAACGTATGAGAAATTCACAAGCTTTCGGCAAATCATTCAAATTTCTAAGAAGTGTAAAATGGGTCTATTTTTAAGCCTTGCCCTGGAGCCTGCTTTTGTGGATCCAACGGCCATCACTCGGCGGTGAACGGCCAAAGCTACGGGCCTACATTTACTCATGCTTTGCCCTTGACATTCCACCTCCATTTTGTGTGATCTAATAAGAACACAGCAGCGTGGAAGACGAATGACACCAGCGAGAGAGGGGGAAGCCTGCTCCTGCCTCAGATGGAAGCTAATAATGACACCTAAACAATCTGTCATCAATAGGCTCTCACAATTACACTTAAGAAAAAATGGCCATACACACTTCCATCCACCTTAGCTTTCCCTTGAGGTCTCTCCCAGTGAAATGTATTCGGGAACACCATCCCACCAGTGTATATTGATGCCTCAGCGGCTCTAAACCAAGCTCCTCAACTCATTTCTAAGGAAGTGACCAGCCACCCTACAGAGGAAACTCAGTCTATAATAAATGTCTTAGCCCTTTAGGCGCCAAAGTAGCAGAATTGATGTATCCATACATTCCATACAGTGACCTGGCTTCACACAAACGTTGATGAAATATTAATGTCCCTCCATTTCTTTCTATGATGCTTTGTCTGCACATTGGAAAGTCTGCAAAGTCACTCAAATGAACCACACTCTATAAAAGCAAAATTTTCCCCACATGAATTGTTTAATATAAACCAGACGTGCCTCTTGTATGTATAATATGTATTTATTCACTCATTTGCATGTTTGTTTATTTCACCGGTAAAAATGTATAAAGGAACACTACTGTAAATGCACCAAAAATTTCTACGAAGCCATTTCTTATCCCTTGTCTATGGACAATTGAATAATTAGACGAAATAGTGACACTGAAAACTCATTGTTCTCATGTCACAGGGTAGACGCACAGCGCACTTTGTTTTTATGCATGCTTTTATTTTGAAATGTGTTTTGTGTGCCGCACTGTGTGTTTTTACTTCCTGTTTTTTTATCCTCACACCTGTGGCAGCTTCCACTGATTTTAACGAATGGACATAGACACTGGGGGCTGGAGCCAATGAGAAAAGGGTTTTTAAACAGACTATGGGGGAGGAAGAAGGAGGAGGACACCGGACTGGGCCAAAGGAGGGGCACCGCCAGCCCGAGACCACGGGGGACTGAGGCCAGCGGGGAGAGCGGCACCGGTGATGGGCGCGCATTGAAAGCGCAGAGAGGCGTGTGTGCACCGGGCTAGGCCCAACATCATGAATGGAATGTGCCCGCTCTCCCCTGCGTGTGCCCAGTGGCAACCTGTGGGCGGCAAGTGGCTGGCGAGACTGCGGCCCCGTCCCGGGCAGAAGAGGAGACAGGTTGACGACAGGGCGTCTTGGGCGACCGAGGAGAGGAGACAATGGAGAACGGCAGCAGCAGTCAGCAGTACCTGCACAGGACCCACGGAAAGCCAGAGCGCGACGCGGACTACACGCAGCGGGCAGAGTCTCTCTGCCCGCTGCGTGTAAGTAACATTGTAGTGCTCTGGTCGGGCATACGGCTGCTGCTGGCCGATAGAAATCTGTTTTTAAGGAGTTTTACTGTGGGAGACCCGTTTTTGTTTCAGGGAGGGGCCTGGCCAGCCATTACCTCATGTGGAGCCAGAGCACGACGTGACATCACCGCAGCGGGCAGAGTTTCTCTGCCCGTGCACGTAAGTGACCTTTAGTGCTCTGGCCGGGATTCATCCCACTTTTAACCTACAGATTTCTATTTTTAAAAAGAACGTTTTACTGCCTCCTGCTCCTCTGGTTTTAGGTCTGCTGCCTTGGGAACGCGGAGTTGCCCCTGTCCTTACTGGGCTTTTAACTGGACTTTGCTTTTATATTATTAGTATTTTATTCTGTAATTTTATTTGTAATAAATTGTTTTACCCCTTTTAAAACTCTGGTTTTTACACTGCTCACCTTGTTTTTAAGAACCTTCCTTTATTGAGTCCTAGTCTCATTTTTAAAACTAGGTGGCGTTGCTTTCCCTTTTATATGCTACTCGGCCACACTCACTCCTGTCTTTATATATGGGCGTGTTCATACTTAAACTGGACAAATTTTGGCATGGCAAGAGCTCTGGAATGTGCTATCCTGGTGCGCACTGGGGTAGTCTAGCACAGTTTATGCAAAGTGGTTTTGCTGCAAATGGAAAATAAATTAATGTAACTTGTATTCTGCTTCACTTGGCGAAAGAATAATTTACAGATCTGTTTCAAAACATGGAAACTGACTTAAGTGACTAATGGACACATGATGATTCTGTTGTGGTGCTTTTACATCCACAAAAAAAACATTTCTGCCCCTAGTGAAGCAGAATCGGTTCAGTTAAGGGGAACCAGAACAACAAAAATGAACACATACTTAAATATAACAAGTCTAATTAAAACATTAACCCATTCACAGCACTTTCAACCTCCTTCCCTTCCCACCTGGAATTTTCCGTTACACTGCCACCATTACCTTCTGCCTCTGCTTCTTGTTGATGGCGGGGGAGGCTGGCTGCCCCGGGCTCGGGACGCCACTGGAGGCGGCCGACCCTGAGGCAGACTGGAGCAGTGTGGAGCGTTCTAAAGCCGAGAGCACGCCCACGCCCACGCCCCCTGCTCCCATGGGTGCCCCCATCATGCCGGGACCCTGCTGCTGCGACACCTTCTGAAGCTCCGCCGCCAACTGCTTAGGATCAACGCCTGGGGAACGCTGGCCGTCTGCAAGGAAACATAAACATAATCTGTATCCACATGTTTAAGCACAAATGACACCGTTTTAGGATTTTAGGATTTTTCATTTGACAATTTCAATTGAGCTATGAAACCACTCAATTTGGCTAATTAGTTTTATATTCTAGATATTCCAGTTCAATGTCTTACTTGATTTGAGCTGGTGTTCCAAAACTTGGGGGCGCTCCGGGTCTGACAGCATGTTCAGGTCACTGGCAAACAAGGAGAGGTACATTCTTAAGAAAAATAGACTGGACAAAGGAACAATTATAACTTTTCCCCCATCAAGAAATAAGATACAATAAATGTTTTCGTCTACATGTTGTGTATTATTGCCCTTGTAGTTACGATCTCAGACAAGCCCACAAGTAATTGCCTCCGTCACCCTGGCAGAGCTGGAACAAATTGAGGAATTGTCCACGATTGTATCATTGTGTGGAGTTAGGTTGCTTAATGTTTGTTGTGACTAGTGCAATAGTGCAATGATTGGTCGTGGGGTAGATAGATCATTGGTGAACTCATTACATGTTTAATTAGCACAAAAGTCTCCTTATATACCTTTAAAACTGTACACAAATGTTCAGAAATATTGTTTTAGAGTTGTCGTATGAATCCTTTTTTTTATTATTGCTGTGTCATTTTGCAGAATTGTATCATTCTAAACCAACTTTGACTTTGACATCCCTGTTCTAAACGATGTAGTCGATATTCATAGGTTGCATATTTTATGAATTCTACAAATGCACGCCCGGCTTTACCTCCATCTCTGGTTGTGATAAATCTACTAAAAGTAAAAGTATTATTGCAAGTCCCTAAATGAAAAAGTAAAGAGGCATGGAAGAATTATGAAATAATTGATGGACAATAAATCAAAATGTACACAAAAGTGTGGAAATATTGTTTTGGATTGGTCGTATAAATCTTTTTTTTTTTCAATGTCAGAAGAAGAATCAGAATTAATGTATTGCCATTTGCAAAAAAAAAGCTACATTGGAAAACAAACAGGAGACACCGGGGGCACCAACGACACAAAAGACAGTGTGCAACCCAGAGCTCGAGCTACGCAGCCATACATCAGCGCCACGTTCAAGCCAAAGTCTAATTTTGCAGGATTTTATTTTTATAATAGTAATAATACATTTTATTTATAATGCACTTTACATTTGACACCAAATCTCAAAGTGCTAATATTATTCTAAACAATGTATTCAATATTCAAATGTTGCAAATCTAACAAATTCTACGGTTCCGCGCTCGCCCAGCTTTACCTCCGTCTCTGGTTGTGGGACAGACGCCGCCACAGCACTCACAGTGAGACCATGTGGGCGTGGAGCGGCGGGGCTGACATATTGCTGTTAAACACTTTGGGGATGATCGAGAGAGTGACAGAGACTAAGCACTGACAGATGTAACTCACAGGCGAACGCACAGCTCCGCCTCGGCACACGGCTGACCCACAATGCACTGCACCTCCTCGTAGGTCTTCCCCGTCAGCGACAGGCCGTTCCACTCCAGCACTTGCATCCCTGTGAGGAGAGAGAAGAGGTGAGAGAGGGTTAGTTGTTCCTTGCTGATGCAGGAGGGACAGCGGTGATGATCCAGGACTTAAATGGATATTTATGGATATTTATTAACATTTATGGACATTCTTCATTTTTCCCCGATGGACCAATGGCTCCTGTGTGTTTGTTATTATTGCGTTTCCTGTGTTTTAACTGTTTCATTCTCTAACTCAGTGTTCCCCAACCTTTTTGAGCCATGGCACACCTTTTTCATTTAACAATAAGATGGCACACCCCCAGTTGAAACGGATTCAAACATATAACAAACTAAGTCATTCTCAACAAAATGTATTATCTGGAAAATCACAGAAGTGCAAATAAGTATTTCTAATCTTCTAATTATTTTTTGATTTCACATTATTTGGTAATATCGGATAATTTCTCAAGGCACACAATATAACATCTCAAGGCACACTAATGTTCAACAAGGGCAAAACAAGTCTTTCTAATCTCCTCTTTCTCCTTTCTCTCTCACTAACGCACCACGGCACACTGGTTGAAAAAAACTGCTCTAATCTGTGTCAGCGAATCTTTGTAAAGTCGCTGTTCTGATTTAAGGTCACACAAAAAAAAATGGGATTGAATTGGATGAGATGTATTTTTAGCATGTAATGTATTACAGGGGTATTTTGAAGATAACACAAACACTTTATTTTCCACTCATCATTACTGGTTGTGTGATGCCTTTTTATGGTCAAATTATTATTTAGACTTACAACACAATTGAGCAGCTCTGAGGAGATTTCAAATGTGCAGTTCATAATGCATTGTATTTTTTTTTAAAAGCTACCCCAACAGAAGCGAGGAAAACAGTATGTGCCATCAGCCCCTCTGTCCACCACCAACGAGTCACACACTTATTCCAGGCAATGGGGGTGAAGTTTCCTGCCTAAGGACACAACAACAGCAGACATCAGTGGGAGTCGCTGGAGAAGCTCTTGTGGTGGGCTCGAACCCACGACCTTCAGGCTCTAAGGCCAATGCTCTACCAACTGTGCTACTGTCGCCCCTGCATATCACAGTTCATGCAAGGTGGCCCAGGAATTGGAAGCTTTTTACCAAGAAGAATGGGCAGATTTACCAACAGAGAGGATAAAGAACCTCCTCCACTACTACCACATAAGATTCCAAGCTGCCGGAGATATTAAAGGGGCCATATTGAAACTTGATGGAAACTTCTGATCAGGGTCAGAAGAAGTTTTTTTTTCCCCTTTTTCCATACCTTCAATAGAAAATATATGATAAACCAAGTATGACACCTGTAACTCCCTGTGCTACCACCAAAAGGTTTTGTCTTTTTTTTCCAAATGAGAAAAGGATTGGCTGCAAACACTGTCATGTGATTGTAAAGAATGATATTTCACCTGAGAAATTGCCAAACTAATTTAGGGACCATACTTTTGTTCTTAAAGAGTGACGTCATTGTCTAGTGGTGCAGTGACGTCATAATATTATAGGACTAAGACTTTTGTACGTAATGGCAGAATTGCATGTTTATTATTAGTGTGGATGGATCTATGCAAAACTCGAGGTCGTTTTGATGAGGAACACTGCTGCAACATGGTCAAAATCTCAAAAAAAAAAAATATTCCGCGGAATAAGAGCCCTTTAAAATATCCTCTCTTCCACCTCATCCGTGCACAGACCATGGCACAGGGACAAAAGGGCTGGAATGAATATCTACATATCACTTTGCACCAGTCATTTACATTTTCCCCACTGCTCGGCTGCTTGCATTATTTACTCTGCCCTCCCTCACCCCCCACCCCCTCCCCTCCTTACTCACCATATTTTCCCTCTTATTTACCTGCAGCGATGTTCTGCTGCCGCTTTGCTTCTTCACAACACATTTGCTCTGCTTTATAACAAGCTTTTTACAATTTTATAGCAGCACCCTGGCAATCTCCATATTCAACCCACCACAATAGTGATTATGAAGCGTACTATACATACATTTGTGGATTAATTTTGGTAAGATCCTACTAGCCATTGCTCTTGTCAACACAACTCAAACTGTTCAATTATTTAAATCTTTTGCAAAACACCACATATGCTGTCTTTTAAGGCTGTGCCACATGGCAAGATTAAGAAAACAAACACGATTTCAGAGGAGGTGATGAAAGTTTGCAGTTTGTAGTAAGGCATTGAGCAAAATGAGTGGAGACAACTTAAGTATGGACTGTACTGTTACCCGGTAACAGTTACCGTATGATACAGATCTGAATGGGGCGCTGGGGAGTCCAATCCATGCTCCTGGTATTCCGCAAACCGCAACGTCACCTCACTGCTACCTCACTGCTATGTCACCGGTACCTCACCTGTCGTTCTCATTGGCTACTTGTCACAGTCAAGAAGGCCACATCTGGAGAGATGGGGTCTTGTCAATCTACATGTTCTTCCGAGTGGGCGAGAGCAGTCTCACTAAACACGGCAGGAATTTCCTCCGAGATAAGATTATCTTTAAGATTGTCTGAAGCGGATAATTGGGGCCAAAATCACCATTATTATCCAACCCTGTGAACCAGGCTTTAATGGGACATGGGGCTATTGTTCACAGCTTTTGAACAGCTGTGAACAATACTCCCTTTTCATTTACATGCTCAAAGGATGAGAAAATGCTGATGAGTATGACCATCAGCATTATGTGACCATGTGTCCACTTGACAGGGCAGAGTGATGTGGCTCTGAATCTTTTGGGTCAGTATTGAGATTCAAAATGTAGTGAAATGCACAAAAATATTCAAAATAGATGACTGACTTTCAAAGTAAGTACAACGATGATTGTTTGTCTCAACAAAAAGAAAAAGTCTTACCATGTTTTGCAAACTAGTCCAATTGAAGAATACTTGGACTGAACGCTGATTGGCAGAGTGAGAGCGATTCTCTCTTTTTCACTTTTTTGTCTGATAAAGCTTATCAAAAGATGTGTCAGAGGCCAACAATACATGCATGCGAAAACTAGCGAGAGATTCACAGGTTCGGGACTAGTTAGATTAATTAAGATACATTGTTGCTTTGTTGTTTGAAAATTGGATAAACTGTTTTTTTTTCAATCGGTGTTGAAATGGAGTGTCAGGACAACAGTGGGGAAGGTTGGCATGTAATTTGGACGAATAAAAGAATCAAAACAAATGTCTAACTTTCAAAATATGTCGTCTAAAGTGTTCTAGTTATTGGACTACAATAACTGACCCTAATTATCAACAGATAAAAAGTATGAGGACAGCTTCATACAGAAAAGGGCAAAGTAACAGCCCAAGGTTTGACGATAAAGCTTAGCGTACATCGGACTGGCAACTGATTATATCCGTCGCATATGAGTTGCTGCCCCGCACACATCGACAATCTGACGAAAACGGGCAACTCCCAGTAGCAGACCAGTCTCGGGAATAACAGCGCGTACATCGACAGCAACTGGCCTCAACTACAGTGTGTTTTCTGACATAAACTGTTGCGGGCTCGCAATACACACACGTTGTCGGAGCGGCGCATGGAGCGCGCACATCGGGTCATATCTCCGAAACTGAGGACAACTAGTTGCCGAAAAGTAGAACACGGGCAACTGACTGAAACTGGAGACCGACTGATCATCTCCAGTTGTAAGAGTGCGCACATCGACCGATTTTGGCAACTGATCATCTCCCACCATCTCCTCTCAGTTGCCAAAAGCCGCCTTGCAACTAGTTGTCCCCAGTTTCTATGTCGATGTACGCTAGGCTTTAGAGCTTCTCTCTCTTTCCACTCTTCTTCATCTGATACTATGCTAAGTTTTGTGTCTAGTATTATAGCCTTCTTCATCTGGCCCACAATGGCCAATAAAAGTGAATGGCTCAGGGTGTCAGATAAGATGAGATAAGAGAACCTGCATTCGTCCCACAGTGAGGAAAGGTTAATGTTGCAGGGCCTTTACATGGTCAGTAGTAAGAGCACTGTCCTGTGTGTAAGGAAAGGGTGCCCTGGGGGTTTTGGGTTAAAATTCCCTTGTTTTAGTGCAGTGGAAATGAGAATATTGTCTTGTCTTTTATTTTATTGTTATTTTTATATTGATACATATATGCACACACGGTTTTTTCTATTTGATTTTTCATGATTTCACTGTTTCACTATGGATTTGCTTTGTTTAGTTTTTTATTGTGCAGCACTTTGGAAACTGTGTTTAAAAAATGTGCTATATAGATTGTGATTGAAAGTGGATTGGATTGGATTGTTCAATAACCAAATTAGAGGATATTTGAGGTTTGAGACCAATTATAGAGACCGAGATGAACAGGTTTATGTTCAAGAATAAATGGGGTTTTTTGTTTTTGAAAGGTGTAGTCTTGATAGAATTGATTGGGCCAGAGTCCGGTCTGAGGGTGAGGGGCTTTGGAATTTTTCTTCACCCAACCCCTTTTCAAAACAGTCTTTTCTTCTGGGTCTCTTTTTTTCTTCCGTGAAATTGTGTTGTACGGCTTTTCAAATAAACATTGTGATTGACGGATTGATTTATTGATATCGGTTCATACATCTCTAAATATGAAGCTTGGTTACAATGTGAACTCTGAATAAATTCCTAAATTTTAAACGTAAAATTGTCCAAAACCGAAGTAGATATTTGGCAGAAAGGTGCAGCCCTGTGCAACATATATGTGTGTGTGTTGTTTGGTGCTAAGTATAGCCTGATGACAAACCCGAGTGAGAGGCTTGTGAGGATGAGGAGGAAGAGGAGGATTGTTTGAGGCTGTTTGACTGAACAATACATGACACAAGACAAGAAGCAGCCCACATACGCCACTCAGGATCCCCCCAGCCACTGGCACTCAGAATGTCACATATGGAACATTTGTGCTGGATGAGAGACTATTTTGCCAGAGTCATTTTCAACTGTCACTATCAACATCACGATTCAAAGGAAGTGTAGTACCTTCGTGAAAATATACTTACATGTGACTTCGGGAGTTATTTCAGTGACTCATTACTTTGATATTACAAACACAGAAAAATGAGCACTGCTATTGAGAGCTGTTCAACAAATGCAAAACTGAGACCATAAAAGAAACAATATTGATGATACAGACAGAAAGGAGTTAAATGTTCAAATGTGGGGGGTGCCAAAAGAACCACTACACCTAACTACATGTCCATTCAAACAAAGCAGAAATTTCAGTCTATTTTGTGAGATCATCAACCACATTTTTATCCACCACATTTTAAGCAAGGCAAGGCACGTTTATATACATAGCACCAAACCACCACAAGACAACTTAAAGACAGACAACTTTGAAATCATCTGACGACATTAAAACCATAAATAATCACATTGATGGAGATACTGTATAACCCTTCAGTTATGTATGCACAGCGAAACAGAACTGTTTTCAACCTGGTTTTGAACGTCAGAGTAAAATCCCTCTGTTAATATAAATCCCAATCAGGAACTTCTAGCGCATTCATGAAACTTTGCCCCTTCTGTAAAAATCTCCTGTGACAGAATGATGTCATTGTACCACTATGACAATACACTCAGCAGTTTTCTTCCTTAACAATACATAAAAGTATTACCTCTAAATTAATTTTGGGTAAATTTGAAATAACGTTCTTTACAATCACATGAAAACGTGATTGTAAAGAATGTAAAAATGTTGAAATTGAGAAAAAAAAACAAAAATTCTACTCCCCCTCTAGTGGCAGCATAGTGATAGAGCAGGCTGATCGCATTATTTACTTTTCAAATTTCTTTCATCATATATTTTTACTGAAGACATCATTCAGCAAAAAAGCCTCATTAAAATGTTTAAAGGCCAAAATGAATGCGCAATATGTCTTCATTGAGAAAAAGTTAGTTTAGCTGGTGTTTACATTTAGGTTGCGTCCTGTATGAATATCCCGGTCACGTAACTATTTGCATTCCATCTAGGCGCTAAGTAAAAATATTTCATCTGATTCAGCCATCGTCCACAGGAAGCGCTAAGATTGACAATTAGCAATACAAATATAGCACCCTGTCAGACCATATTTTCAGCACCATCAGCATACTCCATGTTCTCACGTTGTGTACAGTTTTGAGCCTCTGACTTACCCTCCATGATCTTCCCCGTCTGCTCGGCTGCTCCTCCAGGGATGACGGCTGCGATGTAGGCTCCGATCTCCCCTCTGCTGCCGGGGATCTCCTTGCCCCCCACCAAACGAATCCCCAGCCCGTTGCCTGCACATAAACAAGTAGATTTCACAAGGGTTTGTAATTTATAGCAGTTAAAGATTAAAGAGTCCAGAGCCGTACCTGAGACACTGCAGTCCCTCTGGTCTCGCTGCAGCTTCATGCGTGCGTGTGGGAATCCATAGGGCACCAGCTTCATCTGCAAACACACGTTATGCAGGTATTTAGATGCAAGCTGATATGGGGTATTCTATTTGGATTTGCATTCACCTTTTTTAAAACACACATCTATACACATGTGGAATCTGACCTGCATATTTGGACTGTGGACCTCTGCCATATCTGTATTACTGCTAAACATTATTATCTGGAGAACTGAATGTAATTTGTCTGACCCACATTGTTACCATTATCTATATCTTAAGCATGCATCAACAATATCTCAAGTGATGTCGTCTCTGTTCTGATGCACATTGATACAGTGCACATCATATAAGAGCTTTGTCATCTTTTGTTCGATCTGGAAGGACTCGATGCTACTGTCTCTGTCTTCATTTCTCAACACATACACACACAATCCCCTCCCAAAAAACTCACTAAATTAAACCCTCATTCCATCAATAGCTGCACTACATATTTGAATAGACAAACATGCAGTGCACAACAAACATCCAATGCTTTTCTTTCTTTCAGCAATGAATCTATTTCTACTTTCTACAGCAGGCTATAAGACAATGTAGCATTAATCTGCAATATTCTGCAGCAGAATATAAGGCGCAAGGCTGAAATGAAAGGCTTTTATGTGCGCCTAATAGTACGAAAAATACGGTACATTTAACGCCATTACATAATACTTATTCTGAGTAAGTATATTCCCTTACAGTTACTACTTTAAAGTCTACAATTTAGAATAAGGTTTATTGAGGTTGTGTTTTAAATATTTGTAAATGTACCTTAATACGTTTTGTAAATAATCATACATGTCCAAATAATAAATATAAAAGATTTAAAACATGATATAAAGTATCAAAAAAAGTTTTCGGATTACAGGTTGTACTTATTCCGATGTATCAGAATGCTATACAAGATACATTTAAGGGAAATGTATGCAGCATTCTTGAACGGACTATGATTTCAAAGCATTTTATTGCTATTGTTTGCTACTTTTAAAATTATGTATTTATTTTTTTCATATTTTTATGGATAGATATCTTTCTGCTGCTACTGGACACCTGAATGTCTCCAACAAAGTATCTATCTTTCTATCTAAATACAAAGTAGAAGCCGAAGTTTGACCTGTCGTCTGTCCACGTGTCCCGTCTGCGGGTGTCCCTCTCTGGGCTTGTCAAACCAGTCCGTGTCCTCCCTTCTGAGATGGTAGGCTACGCAGGAGAACACATGTTACACACACAACCTCAGCACACCCACACAGACACCTCCCACTGATACATTCAAGAGTGGACAGTGAATGACACATGGGGCTTTTCAGATCTGGACCATACATGCACTGAACATGCACTTCTCTGCAGTGAATGTGCTTGTGTTGTGACCTGGACACACACCCACACCTGGACCTGTGGGTTACATTTATACACATAGATCTTACCCGAGTGGAACAGGACAGACAAAATGCTGTGGATTGGACTTGCCCCATAATTATTACATAGAAGAACTAACTGGTGCGTTAAATGTGTAAAGCAGGTTTGGATGAAGTTAATCTATTAGACATTTCGCAGCAGCAGCTAATTCTAAACCAATGTAGCTCATTGGTTGGTTTTACATTATTGGTGAAACTTACCCAAAGTTGTTGTTCTTAGACTACTACTGTTCTCAAGCGCAAATGACACGTTTTTCATACCCATCCATATCATTTCCTGATTGGACATACTATATATGCAGCAGTATTAGCTTAGCATCAATTTTATGTTGTTTAATCCATCTTGAAACTACTAATATAAAAACGTGAAAAAACAGGTATACATGTTTATTACAGTGTATATCTCACCAAACAGAGTAAGAAGTCAGGTGTCATATGGACATCAGACGACATCTATCTTCATAGACAGTAAGTCATAATGGCTTATTTTACTTATACTGTAGTTATTTATTCTGATGGAGCAAACTCTGCACAGAAAAGGCTTTTCTTCTCAATGGTTCCCTTTTCCAGATACCTGGGGGGAAAAAAGTGGTTCTTGCGTCCCATTAATCCTCTATGGGAAATTAGCCAAGCATCCAAATACCCAAAACTTCAACAATATGCAGCAGAGTTACAGCTGCAGCTGGATGTTTGGGACACTCAAAGAAGCTTCACATGGCATTACTGATTCACGGTCTATACGGTGGTGGTAAACTATTACCATAGCCACAGTTGTCCTGGGGCTGACGGACAGAAGCAGAGCTGCCAATGAGAGCCATTGGCCCCTCTTACCACCACCTATCAAATATGGAACTGCTTTTTCTATATAAATGAACGAGAAGCCACACACTTTTGAATTCAAAGCCACTGCAAGGATTTAGTCAAATCCAATAAGTGACCTTAAAATCATATAATACTAAATTTATATATTTATATTTATTTATATTACATTTATATGTTTGCAAAGCTGATGCTAATGCAAGGCTATTTCTCCAAAGAGTATGATGGGACGAAATGTGAAGCACTGTATTATTTGAGAGCAGTAGAACTAGCTTGTGTGCTACCATGAACGGGGCCAACTGAAGAGCACTGTTCACCAGTGTAATATATAGTGTGGCTAATATCATATTATTTTAGCATGATCATAACAAAATACACATGTATCTGTTTGCGGCTGTGACACACTGCCAGAAATGTAAAAAAACAAATTAGTAAATACTAACTAGATGTTTTTAATGGTTTTATCTTGGATTGTATGATTAAAGTAATTTCTCACAAAACATGTTTGGCCTATGCTTTTCAACTCAAGGATTTTTCCAAATTCAAACCAGTATGAACAGTATGAACCCATCAACTATGTATTTTGTTTCCACCACATTTGATCTGCGATATTTTCTCATAGTGTCAATGTCCAGCTCAAATCGTTTAATGAATTAAATCAAATGTTATGTATGCTCAAATATCTACTTTTCACATATTTAAAAAGCTACTATGTATTCAGAGAAGAATTAGGGGTAAACAAAAAACACTTGAACTATTGAATACATGTAATAATGCTTGGGCTGAGAGCTGATTGGCTGACAAGGGTGAAGTTAACATAACTGAGCCAGTTAATGAGCTTGGTTTCATTATGAGCAGTTTGAAAACCAGTTATAACCAGTAAAGACGGGGTACCTCTTTATAAATGTTTTTAAATCCCAATGGAAAGTCTTCTAAAGTAAACTGTTAATAAATCAGACCACAACATGCTGTCCTCACACTATTATAAATCAAGTTATCTTCTACATTCTTGCAAGAAAGAGCCCTGTGAGCTACTATTTGATGCTTTGGGCTGAGAGCGGATTGGTTAAGTGAGGGTCCTCTCATTTTCATCTTTCTCTTTGTAAACATCTGATCTTAAGATGCGACAGAAGCCAAAAATATATGGATATGAAAACTAGAGATAGAACCAAACTGTAATGGATTTTATTACATACTGTACTTTCATTTTGTGTGGCCTGGAAGTTTAAAGCTTTAAAGTCACTGATATTGGTTTGATTGCTGTTTCACTGTGAACTTATTTTTTTGTCATTTTTGGCAGTGCATGAGTCCTCAGAATGATATGCCTGGGATCGATAGAGTATTGTGAGCCACTGGATGGTGGAGAGAGGTTAGAATGGGTGGAGTGTGGCATGTCGGGTGCACCACTACGTATGCATGGCTCATTCCTGGAGTCATGGAAGCACGCAGGAGGGATGCCGTCTCACCTTCTATATTCCAGTTTGGGCCTCCGGCTGGGATACAAAATTCAATGCGTTTTTTTTTTTTCAGAAATGTATTCAGAAGACGTGCTATACTTCTACAGCCGCTACATAAGCACAAAACTAAAGCTTCAAGCAGACTACAGCTAAGCAGAAAAGGGAATCTGGTAACAATGCAAGTAATTATCACATGTTGAACTAACCCCTCATCACACAGACATAGCAGAACTGGATTTTTCTCTATTTTCAAACTCTTATTATTGATCTCTTATCAAACTGCCTTGGGATGAATGGGTTCCAGTTTGACCTCCTGGAGCTGTGTGCTTTATTACAGGCCCCGTTTTTTTTTTTCTTCGACAAAAATATTCCTTAGCTGGTCATTGTACAGTCTGTTAAAGCCAACTTCCAGACCCCAGCTATAGCAGAGTTTATTTTTGCCAAACAACATGTAGCCAGTGTGGACTTTGATCTATATCTGTCTAGACATTGTTTCCACTTATAATTAGAGTAAATGTGTAATTAGAGCAGGCCCTCGGCTTCACAAATTGTTTTTTTTTTTTTTACAGATTTTTGTAGGTATTTCTGTGAAGAGAGGTTGGTGTGATGAGGGGTTAAATTACAGCATGTCTAAGTGGCGTATTGTAATGTTCAATGTAAGAAAATGACTTAAAACTGCACTAGGCAACTTTCAGGCTCCGCTTTTTGCTTGAATCATCTAAATGTTGTAGTTTTTAGAATGTTACGCAGTCCGACTCAGAAAAGTGACACGTGAGCTTAGTCGTGTCTGCAGAGAGGCGAGCCGACCCAATGGAAGAAATCAGAATTATTCTAAAACCCGCAGTAAAATAGAAAATTAAATATGTGTTCCTCAGTTTTTCATAATACTCGCCATGGCAACAAACAAGTTTGCGGACCCCATCAGAAAAGTTACGCAATGCACTTTTAAGTTAATTTTCTTAATTTGGGTATTTCTTTTTCACACCTATCTTTAATATGTGGTATTGTAAAAAGGAAAAAGTACTTATCACTAAGGTCATGAAATGAGATTAATAAAATATAATAAGTCACAAACAATGTAATTTGCCTAATTTTATACTATATTTAATTATTATCTTTAAATTTAGAAGAAAACTATTTCAAACTCAAGTCAATCACTTTATGAAGAATATGAAAAGTGAAAGGGGAATATTCGGCTTTCACACTGCAAAAACCAGTTTGGATGTTTTTCTTTGCTTTTTTTAAAGGACTCAAAAATTTTGTGTTTTGGATTTGAGAAGATGAGAGAGATGTAGAGTTTCTATTACATTATCAATACTGTATTATGACAATTGTAGTTTTTCTTTATCTAATTTGTCTAATCTTCTCAAAACAAAAAGTATGTTTGAAATCTGGTAAATTGTAACCAGATTTAAATTGAACTTGTAATAAATTGAAACTTGAACTTTGTAAGTAAATTGAACTTTTTTTTCTCTTTTCTCAAGTTTCTCAGTCCTTGAAATAAAAAGTGAACTTTTCCCACAACAAATATTTATGTCTAGAATTTAAACGACTTGACTTTAGAAGTTTTCTCTTAATATCACACAATTTTTTCAGATGTTGTATTTTATTTGTATCAATTTGTCAGAAAAGTCTTTAAACCAGTATAATTTAAGGTTATTAATAAAATTGTCAATAGAAAATATCTACTGTAAGCCTGAGAACATTCTTTCAAATTAATCAGACTTAAAACAAGATTTGCAAATGGAAAATATCATTAAATGTCTGATTTCTTAAAACGATAGAAAACTATCATCAATGACTTTTTTTACTGCACTAAAATAAGACAAAAGCTGCTTGTTCTTTTTGTAAATGTATGTTTAAATCAGTGCAATTACAAAACATGATGGACTGAACAAATGTAATAATTTTGTTTTACTTTCGTAATTAGATTAGTCAAGTAAATGTATATACATTTTGTAACTTAATTCAAATAATATAGCATGTCCTTTCTCTTATTACTTCTGCCACGGAATAATGTAATAGTCTGTTTGTCAGTTAGTTGGCAACATAGTTATAGGCACATTTTTATAAAAACCTCAGAAATTGGGAAAGAAAGTTCTGGTTTTGTTTTGTTTTTTTCCTCAAGGAATTGAGCTTCTTGGCAGAGGTCTACTAGTTCTATGTGCAATTACTTTTCTCTAAGTTCACACTTGCTCTGGTTCACTTTAATGGATCAAGTCTGGTTTACTTTAACTTGGACCAAGATTCCTTTGGGAAATTTAAAAGCCTTAAATGACGAGAAGACACACGTTTACATATATAATAAATTATAACATTATTGGCAGATATTTTTACCCGTCAATTTGAGTCAAATAAAAATGTTGCTGTATGTTGTATTAACTGAATTCAAATGTCAATTGACAAGAAATGTCTTTGTTAAGAACAATAACAGGAATTCAAGCCATTTGACCTAAATATTGGAGTTTTGCAGTGCAGTACTTGCGTTAAAAATCCCCCTCTCCCTTTAGAACTACTCACTATTCCACATGCACTTAAAATCTTCTGTACGCCACGCATGCTCAGAAATATCATTGCAATACCACTACCAAATAATAAAATGACTATTGTTTTGTGGACTGCTTATTGAATACTCTACCGTGTCTGATAGTCTCATGGAAGATTCTGCCATCGCCTGTGTGCAGAACCACCATGGGCTCGCCTAGCACTGGAATAACAAGCACATTTGTGTGGCTTCAAACTGTGGTCATCTTACAGTCCGGGGGTGGAAAAGGCAAGGCTAACTCTACCAAGCTTTTCAAACTATACGTAACCAAAGTGCATGACGTGGGAATCGGCTTGTTTTGCAGTGAAAGTACATTTTGTGAATGGGGATCTATGACCAAGTAAAATAATAAGAGTTCACAGACAGTGTTCTCCTTGTTTGCATTGTCCAGAAATACTTTTTTCACTGTGAATTTATTCAGAAATAATAGATTTTCAGAATTGTGTATCGTGGAATGTGACTATACAAAGATTGCATAATTATTTGACATATTGCGGTCTAAATTCAGGAAAAGGAGGCAAATTTAGTTAATTGGGATTACCACAAGATACTGTATGGTAAGGTTTTTAATTGAAACTAAATTAAGGAACTTCAGGTCGTTTCGTCAATGAATTTTGTGAACAACAATTTCCTTTTGTCTTCTGCAGGCCAAATCTGAAAATAGATGACATCCATCACCATACTTCAGTTTATTCACAATCTGTCTGTCCTGAGTATGGATGACCAATATGTCGGCATCCGCAAATATTTTCTCATTATGCATTGGTATCAGCCCAAAAATTCCAAATTCTTCTTTGCCCGGATGGTTGGAAGTATACTGCTTTACAGTGGATCTAATAATCTCATTTATGGTTTATGAATGTGGAGTATTTGCAAGTCTTCCCTGAAAATCCTAAATGGCCCAAGTGTTTGATATTAACATTTAGAAATTGCTATAAAAGCTTTTAGGTAATTTAACTAATGAAAATGTAAAATGGTCTATATGCCTGAATATTGAATTTATACACAAAACAAGGTAAAGAGTGCACTGGCTGTAAAACAAAATAAATAACTTACATTTCATAGATCTCCTTTCACAGAACAAAAACCTAATCCTATTTTGCTTATCTGTATTGTATATTTTTCACCAACACAAAATCCAACTTTTCTTAGTAATATTATTTGCATATTTGGATCTACAGAAGCCTATTGGAACAATGCCAATCCAGCTCATGATGCAGATGGAGATTTTACAACGTACATTTGTGTATCTGTTGTCAATCACTTTGGAACATGGAAATCTCACGGGACAATGAGACGTCCACAGCAACATTGAGCAAGCCAAATACTAAAGTTTATTATAGATGGAAGTGAACAGCATGCAGAGTGCAAAACCAATACATAAGACAATGGACACAGAAGACAGACAGAAGGAGATACAGAGAAAATAAGTAATCACATCTCTTCATGATTGTTATTTTTCCATTAAAGAACGTTACCAAGCAGAAAGAAAAGACGGATTAGCATTATATAGGACCTTTCCATCTGTAGTTCAGCAGCAGTTCTGTAGGAGTAAAGCTGAGGCCCAGACTGAAAGCATGACAGTGCATAAAGAAAGCTGCAGTCTGACACAAGGGCCAGCGGCTACTTTCAAAGTGAACAGATCTGCTTATGACCTACTTCTCACACATACACTATTCTGTTATGGGAATTGGATTGTTGGAAGTTGGGGAGAAATATTCAAATGGTTAAGACATGCTTTGAAAAGCGTTACCATTTTAAAGTGATATCAGTACAAGGCACTTATCTGTGAGATGTCTCTTAAATACATTGTATCAACAATAATGTCACATTTACATTTGTAGAGTGTCCACTGTGACAATATATACAAATAGCATTATTTACATGAGTGATTATTTTGCATTCGGGCTGCTTTGCAGAATTATTACTCATAGAGACAGTCCAATAGGAAGACATGCAACAAGAATGACACCACAGAATAAACATTATTAGTTGCATACATAAACTCAAAATGAGGAGTATTATGTATTAACTTGACAGAAAAAAGCATGCACACATTGAAAGGACATTTATGATTAAAGACAAATACTAAGAAGAGGAGAAAAGAGCTAAGAGCATCCATCACGAGAGCAGAGAGCATGTGCATGCATGGCAGGCAGGTCCACACAGAGCTGCAGCTGGAGCCTCCAGTTACCTTCACTGTCCGACATGGCACCCTGTAAGTCGTCCATGATGAATGCGATGTCACGGTCGTATCCGCGAGTGCGGGACTCCTCTCTCATGTGCTGCTGCACCTCTGGCAGGGAGTGACTCGACCCAAACTGGTCCCTGGAGTCGGCCGAGATGGGAGGCAGGGGCCCTGCGGAGGCCCGGGCCATGCCCATAGGCTGCCCAACTGGGCTCAGGGGGCTCTCTTCCTCTGAGTTCTGAGCCACTATAGGGATGCGGCCCCGGCTATGGCTGATGGGTAAACTGGTGGGCTTGGTCCTGGTGACCCCAGGCGCAAATGCTGCATCCAGGACGTCTCCCTCTGATTTAAGTCTAAGCGAGGAGCTGGACAGGTCTCGTTTGATTGACAGGTCTAAGCCGTACACAGAGGAGGGGCGAGATGAGGGCCTTGAAGAGGGCCGAGAGTGTGAGCCGCTGGGGTAGGTACCATCCAGAGCAGTGCCCAGTCCCAGAGTCTGGCCTAGGTTAAGAGAACCAGCCAGGTTTGCCCCCAGAGACGAGCCCAAATACTTCTGCTGCTCTGCTAAGTTCTTCCTCAAACCAAAGGTGATTTCATCCTGAAGCAGCCTGGCCCGAGCTGCCAGGTTGGTCACAGAAGAGGCCCCTGATCCCATGTAACTGGCATAGTCAGGCTCCAGATCTCTACTCTCTTGAATTGGGGAACATTTACTGATGGCTTTGGGATCTATCAGGGCCTTTTTGTTTTTCATTTGTTTTTGGTAAAGTACTGCTGCCGGGAGCTGCTTTGCAGCCTGTTTTTCCAGAGTAAGTCTGCCAATGCTGTATTTCTCACCTTTTGGGAAGTGACGGAAAGTGGGGTCGCTATGGAGATACTGAGGCAGGCCCAGGCCTGTGAGATGCTCCAGTCCCTCTGTTCCTCTCCTAAACTCTTGCTTTATTTGCTGCTTCAGTAGCTTCAGCTCATAGGGCTCTTCCATAGTGTCTTCTTCACCCTTGCTATAACCTTGAAGCCGTGAAGTTCCTAAAAAATCAGCCATCTACAGAAAAAGAGTGAAAAGGAGAAACATATCAAACAAAGTAAGAACAAAAAAATACTCTCTCCTTACCTCTGCTGTGCGCCTGACTTCTGCAGCTCGGAGGAGTCTGTCTGCCTTAGATAACTCTTTATCTGGCAGACTGAATCCAGTGCTCCCCATGCCACCTGAGGCTTTGGTTAGCTCCCCTATGTCCTCTATGAGCACATAGTTTCGGGCATTGTGATGATCGATATCCGCATAAAAGGAATCAGCAGAAATGCTGGACATGGGACTGGACGCCATGCTCCTCTCCTCTAATCCAAGTCTCAAGTCCAGACTGGCGTACTTACTCCCCAGGGGCGCCACTCCGTAGCCGCTCTCTGAGGATGTGGGCACAATGAGCAGTGGCTGATTGCGGATAACTTCATAGTTGGTGGACATCTTAGGTTCCATGTCAGATAGGGTGGTCTGCCTCTGCTTTCCTTGTTGCAGGAGCAGAGCGTGTTGGTAGCTGCCGGACTGGGCTTGGGAGAGGGACAGTGTGGGAACATTCTGGTACGGAGAGACCTGTTGGTGGTAGAGAGACTGCTGCTGCTGCTGCTGCTGGTACAGACTTTGCTGAGTGTAGTGGCTGGTGGTCTGCGTTTGGGGCACGTACTGGGCGTAGTGGGAGTATGGGCTGGTGAGTGTGTTGTATTGGGAGTCTGCCTCTGTCTGTGGGGGGATGAACTGGTCAAAGTCGGACTGAGGAGCGGTCCGCGGGCGTTCCAAACCCTCGCTATGCTCTTCCCGGATGTTGCCCACTTCGCTGTCCGACATGTAGTCTCGCTCTTCCGCCACGCCTTGCAGGTAGGCCCGCTCTCGCTTATCGCGTTCCTTCAGGAGTACTTCCTTGCGTCGGTTGATACCCATCTCCAGGTACCTAGAATATATATAGATATATGTTAATAGTAAACAATTAAACAATTCAATTAGAGCACAGCAAACCTTTGTGATTTCAACTTTTCACACTTAGTACCTTTGACAGTGATTCAGTGAGGGAGGGACCCACTAAGTGATGTCATGGACGCCTTTTACCTCTAAAGCTAATGATGAAAAGGGGTCATGCAAAAGACATTCAATTAAATCAAATGAAATGACACGTCATGGAATCAAGTGAAAAAAATATATAAAAAAGGTTTGTATTATAATTCAAGATGAGCAGATAGTTTCTACTTTTTCACTAAAATGACAAAGTAGAATATCGAGAGCAGCCTATATTTAAATAATTCAGCTAAACAAAATAATTCAAACAAAGAATGAGCCTCTCCGTCTCAATAGTCCACAGTAGCCCAGACTTTACTCAAACAAAGACTTAACCTCAAAAAACAAATAATGAAATGACAATTCCTATGATGAAATGAAAACATAATAGAATACAAAAATTCACTTAAAAAAATCAAAAACAAACATCTGTTCACTCACTTACCGCAACTTGGCATCAATCTCTTTTTCTTCTTCGTCGAGCTCTGCCTGTTTCTTCCGCAATTTGGAGGATTCTCTTTCCACCAGATCGAGTTCTTTGTCAATATCTTGTAAGATCTTTGCTCTGGCCATAGTCGTGCTTCTCGCCAGTCTTCTTCGAGCAGAGTTTGTACTATAACCTGACCGCCCGGACAACGACTCATCCTCTGGTGGTGGATCTGGTAATGTCCTCTTCACTTTCTTACCCGTACTGGATGGGGAACTTCGGGCCTAGATGATCAAAGTACATTGTTTTACCAATACCAATACAAGCCTGCATTGTTTATAAAATCAAGACTTTTACTTACAGAATAGCCATCTCCATAGTATCCCATTCTATCATCAGTTGTAGGACTAAGCGACTTGGGATCAGACAGAGACTTCTGGCCAGGTTTCAGTGACCGTGGACTGGACGAAAACCGATTGGGGTCAGCCATTAGCATTCTCTGCCCACCAACCAACTTTTCAGGCGACACGGGCGAGACAGAGCCGTAGAAAACTTTTGACTTGCACTGGCCGTCGGTTGTAAGATGCGTGCTATATCCCACCTCAATTGGTTGGTACCTTTCTGTTTGACAGCTCAGACTTCCGCCTCTTTGAGAATTCTCTGGAGCTGATATATGCTTAATGATTTCGACTTTGGTGTCCAGAACAGGCCTTTTTATTGACCCGGAGTGATCGGTCTGGACAGAAATCTCAGCAACTGTCTGAATTGCTATACTTGAGACTTTGGAACAGTGTTTTACGTCACTGCTGTGTTTTCTGGAACGCCGCCGAGATTTTGTTGGAGTATCCCAGTCATCTTCGTCATCCGTTGGAGGTGAACTGTCAGAGGATATCTTTGTCTTTTTTCTTCTTCCTAAACTGCTAGCTGAATGCTTTTCGTTCTCTTCATCATCCGAGTGCACTCCACTATCAATGATCCTTTTACCCGTGTCCTGGTCAGCATGTAGCTTTTTGACCTGTAGCTGACCCTGACTTCCTTCTAACTGTGCTGCTAAAGCTGGAGTTGACTCGTCTTTCACCGGCCAGTACTGACCACTATCTCCAACACCTGCGTACTTCGCTTCGAGCAGATGAGCGGTGTTGGTGCCATAATGCTCGTCTAGCTGCCTCTGAAGCTGCAGTTGAAGCTGTTGAATCTGCTGCAATTGCTCCTTCTGCTGAGCATACGTTTCTTGTTGTGCTACCATATGAGCGTGATGTTCCTCCTCTTGCTGCATTAGAAGTTGCTGTTTCAATGCCTGCAATTCTTCAAGTTCTCTTTGGACCATCAGTTGCTCATGTTCTCTATAACGCTGAATCTCTTGCCTTTCCCACTCCAGTTCTTCGGCTAAACATATCTGCTTAAGTTTTTCAAGTTCAAGGAATTCTCTTTCCATTTGATACTGGGCCATTTTGGTACTGTCTAGACCAGGGAACATCGGGGAGGTAGCAAGGGCATCCAGAGAAGCAGCAATAGCTTCTAGTGTGGTGTCCGAATACATTTCTTGATAGCCCGTTATTATGTCAGCTAGGGCGGTTGGTAAGAGTTCCTTGGGGAGCCCAGTGTCATAAGGTATGATCTGACCTGGATCAGTAGTTGGGATTAACTGATAAGGAACCAAAGCCTGATTCAGGTTTGTGGAGATTGGGCTGTGAGTTGTGCTGAAAACAGATCCTGGCTGAGTGGTAATAGCATAGGTTGATGGAACTGGAGCACAAACAGATGTGTAAACCATTCCGTCAGAAGTTCTTATAGCACTATTAACACCAAAGCCAGCAGAAGGACTTTGACCATAGGGTGAAGTGGCTAGTCCAGGGTAAGCTCCAGGGGATTTGCTAGTGTAGTCCATGGGGTGACCTGCCACATTAAGGAAGTCACGTTAGGATTGTGAATATAAGCATGCAGTGACTAAATTAAATTGTATACAGCATGCATTTTTGGATTTTCCAGCTAGCATGATGCAAAACGAAGAGGAAGAACACGCAGGCAGAGGCATGCATCTGTGTAAAGAAGAACAAAATAAGCAAGCTCAACGTTAAAACACATGCAAAAGCAAAAGAAACATTTTTGACAAAAGAAAAAGAATAGGAAAACTCTGAATTGAAATAATTAACCCATAAAGTAATTGCATACTTCCTTCTATATCTGAGCCAACAGGCAAACACACAAAACAAATACTGTAGGAGAACTTACCAGTAAGATTTGCAGCAGTCAGGTCTATGGCTCCATCTGAAGAAGCATTCAGGTAATCCTTTGTCGGATCATATGGAACCAATGCAACCTCGGGAATATTGGTCTCTGACAATGACACCTTCATACCGTTCATGCCTTTGATGCCATGATAATTGCTTTCTGGTTGTGTAGTGACTGTAGGTATAGCCCCACAACTTCTTGCAAATGGAAGCCTATATATGACATCACAACATACACTACTCCTTCCAGCTGTCAGGTCAATTGGAGTGTCATCATCTTCTATAACAGTAGTAGCTACTCCAGGACTTGTACTTGACAAAGCCTCAATAGCCCTCATGGGTTTGTAGTTTGACAAATCTATGGCTCCATTTGTCTCAACTGAAATGATTGGTGGAGCGGGAGATGTTGGTGGTTGTTTAGCCTCAGGGGAAACAAAAGCTCCATAAGTAAGGTTCATTGGGAAGTCTTGAACGGTGGAGGTTACCGTACTGGTTGCAGGTGTTGTGTTCACAGGCTTATAAACAATCTGCGATAATGGTTCAAAGGGTTTGTAAGTGGTTAGCGGGAGAGGTGTTGATGTAACTGAGCCTTGCAGATCAAGAGGTTTTTCTGCCGGAGTATACGAGGCAATAGTGGCAGTACAGGTGACTATTGTAATGCTATCTGTCACGACAGCCAAGGTTGAAGAGGGAGTTATTTCGGCACTGAGATTGACAATCTCAGGCTGAACAGCAGTGATTTGTCGCAAACTGGAATCACTTGAAAATGATTGCCGGCAAGATTCAGGTGGTGTCAAGTCCATTCCTTGCTCAGTCATCTTTACCTCGTCCTTGATTGTGCGTAAATCAATCACATCGACAGGATACACCCTTCCGTTCTGTTTTGCTGCTGGTGGTGTAACTCTAACAATATCAGGCTGAATAGTAATTGCCACATTTGAAGTAGGTTGTTGTGGAATTCTTTCATGAACTACAGAGACAGTTGTTCTTTGCACTTCAGTTGTGACAACCTGAGTGACAAGGCTTGGCATACTTTCAGGAGGGTGACCTGAGGTAGATATCTGTGAAGAATATACATGGCTCAAACTTGACACAACCGTTTCTTTTCCTCTGATTTCCTGACTTTCAATGGATTCCTGTTGGATTTTTGTTATAGTGACTGGAGTTGTAGAAACACTCCGTGGGATGTCTTGTGTTGGAATAGAAGATCTCCCCACGTAGATGCCATCCTCCATTTCTTTGTGATCATATTCCGAAATAAACACTGGCTTTGAATCCAACCTTTCAGGCAAGGTTATTAAAATATCACTCTCTGGTGGCATGTACACAATTTCTTCTTCTTGTGTTGGTTGTGGCAGAGTTATGGAAGCCCTCCTGGGGGCAGCATATACCTCTGTTTTAACTATCTGTGCAGGTATTTCATACTCTGTAGGAAATGGGACTGTCTGACTTGTGACAAATATTGGCTGTGGAACAGATGCTATTGAAGTCCTTCTAGTGGTTACATCCGTTGTAAAAGCTTCTACTGGGATCACAGTTTGAGGCTGTGCGGATGATGGTTTTGAAGTGCTCCACACATCTTCAGTTTTGATATCTGTAAGTCTCTCATAAGGCAAGGCGATTACTTCAAGAGGTGGTGTTGGAGGTTGCATGACAGGAGGGGAAACTTCAGAAATATAGGTATTTGAAGTAACCATAGGTTGCATTGGCACCCCCTGGACCCCAATCAGCACAGATGGAGGTGATGTTTCAGGGATGATAGCTTGCACAACATTCATAACTTCAACTGCTGTGGGCGGTGGCATTAGAATAACAGATTGCTCTTTTATCTCAGTAACCACAGGAGGTTGCTGCAGCAACACCTCATGCTCATAAGCAGTTTGTGGAGTTTCAGTTACAGCATGCTCTTCAAGGGCAACATCCTGTTCACTTTGGATTTCAATAAAAGTTTCAATTTGCGAAGACTGGGAAGCAATACCAGTTGGAATATCTGTCGCTTGTGTATTGACGCAAATATATGAAGGCTGTACGGGCTGTGATATTATTGATGCTGGTGGGACTTGAGGAATTTGGGAAGGCTGTGGAGCAATACAAGTTGGAATATCTGTGGCTTGTATATTGACATAAACATCTGAAGGTTTTACAAGCTGTGATACTTTTGATGCTGGTGGGACTTGAGGAATTGTTTTGATAGTTTTTTCTGAAAAGACAGGTTGTGCTCTTGCAGTCACCTGCACTGTCTGTGGTTGAATAGGTATAACAGGCTCTGAAGAAAGCACGATTACCTCTGGTGCTGTTATTGGCAGAGAAACTGGCTTCTGTTCTACAGGTAGTACATAGGGTTTCTTGATTGGAATAGCTACACTCTGCACTTGAATATTCATGTCTTTACTTGACAAAACTGCAGAATCTGCAGATTGTGCTGTTTGCATAGATACAACAGAAACTTGCTTTTTCTGCGTTTCAGCAACAACCACCTTAGGGGATACTTTCTCTACAACCACAGTGGGAGGAGGAGTGGGAGAAGGATGCCTCACAGAGGGCACAGATGACCTCCTTGGTGCTGTCTTAGTTGTAAATGTAGTTTTCTGCTCCGCTGGTGTGGCTCGCACTTCCGACACTTTTGTAGATGGGGTTGACCCTCTTCTTACAGGTGCCACAACTGTAATACCATCTGGTGGGGAACTGGGCTCACCAGGTTCTGAGGGTAGTGTTATGACCACGTATGTTTCAACACATCTTGCATATCTTGGAGATATTGGCGATTTAGGTGAGGTTGCTCCCGATTTTGATTCCACAGGTCGTGTAAGGCTAAGAGAAAGGGCGTTTGGTGGCTCTTTAGTTCTTGGAAGTGTGGCAGCTTTTGGAACAGCATAAGGTGGTTTCACACTTTCTCCTGGTTTGTGGCTAAAGACTAATCCAGCGGGAATAGAAACTGGTTTTGGTGGGATAGGAGGAGGAGGCTTGGCCGTATGAGTTGGGCTACTTGTTGTCACATTTGTCTGTAAAACAAGTGTGGTTGTAGTCGTTGTAGTTGTTGTTGAACAGGGGATACGAGGTTTGGGAGAAACAGGGGGTTTTGGTAGTGTAGAAGGAGCTGGAGGAGGAGTATCAGCAACAGCAATTTCTACTGAGTCAGCTATTTGTGGTGGAACTTTTGTTGCTGACACAGGTTTAGGAGGAACTGGGGGAGCTGACATTTTAGATGATGGAGTAGCTTGTGTAACCGTTTGACTGGTAGCCGCTATAGGGGTTATAGGGGCCATGCTGTCTTGAGATTGGTTCACAAGGGACACTTTTTCCTTTGTGGATACAATAATCATTACATGACCTTGGCGTGTCGGAGTAACTAACTGCGTTGCATCAGAACCGGTGTCTATTCTTGGTTGTATGTCTACTACTACTGACTGCATTGCCTTGGTAGGTTTTGATGTAGCAGTAGAGACTGTTGTGATTGCTGGAGAGACTGGTTGATTCGTTCTGTCATCAGGCAATGAAACTGATGTAGATCGAGGAGGAGGAGGAGGTGGGAACTTTCGTTTTACTATTGTTGTTGAGGTAATAGTTGCTTGACTTGTAGATGGGACAGTCTGTTGAACTAAGGAATAGGGAACACCAGCAGTCGGAGCTTGTGATGATGGGATTGTGACTATTGCCGAGACCGCGGGGGATGCTGTTGACTCAAGATTAGGCATTTGCACTATAACAGGAGGTGCAGATGGCTTTGCTGGTCCAATAATAGATGGAGCTACCTGGGTTGTCGTCTGAATGGGCTCTACTGTAGGTTTTACTATTCCTGTTGTAACTGTAATAGCAGAAGTCTGAACTACCATTTGGGATGGGGGTGAAATCAAGTCTGGCATTTGAGCTGAGGCAGGTAAAGTTTGTGTAGCACCTGGAGTTTTGTCCTTTACATGGTCTTTCTGAATTTCAGTAATTGGAGGTTTGGACACAGTATCTGGTATTGTAACAACTGTGGAAAAAACATGATCAGGGACTATGTTCTGGGCTATTACAGAAACTGGCTCAGGTGGTGACTGGGTTATAACTGATGTTGGAGGAGTCGGTGTGGACAGTGGAGTAGAATCTAATGAAGGTGGTGTTTGTGCCTGGTATGAAGAGGATGATGTTGCCAAACTTGACTCTGGAGTGGCAGGGGAAGTTGGTGGTGAAACTGGTGAGACAGGGGACGGTGTAGAAATTAGCTCTGGAGCTGATATTGGAGCTGGGATTGGCCGAGCCTCTGGTATTTCACATATTACACTAATAGGCTCCATTTCTGCAGTTTCAGATAAAGTTGGGCTTGGTTCTTTAGCATCAGAGTCATCACTGGGGGTGATGTCTGAAGACATACCCACACCATACTCTTCAGCAAGACTGTCCTCCTCTTCCTCTCCAGAAGAACATTGAGTTATTTTTAAATCTGGTATTGGGAAAAGTGACTTTGCCAGTGAAGGATCTTGTGGTGTCATAGGTCTCACAAAACTTATACCAGTAGGAGCACTGGGAATAGCTCCTTCGGTACGCTTTGGAGGTGCAGTGGGTCGTGGTGGAGCTGGCCTTTTCTTCTTTTGAACATCCTCGTCAGCTAAAGGAGGAGAGGATGGCTCCTCAAATGGCATAGAGACAACACAGCTCTCTATCTCTGCAGCTGCTGAAGCCTCTAGCAAAGTTTGGGCCTCCTGAAGCTCCTGTTCAATCATAATCAGTTCTCGCTTTTTCTGCATCATCTCTTCATACACTTCTTCTGGAGATCGAAGTTTCTTATCAGGCTCAATATAAATTTTTAGCTCTTCACTTCCACATATCCTTTCAGACTCCTCAACAAGTGACTCATAAAGATAGTCTTCTATTGCCATTCCCCCATACATGGGTTCTATATCAGGCGGACTCTCTCCTGGAATAGCTTTAGCTTTCTGGAGGATTTCTTCATAGGCCTCGTCAGCACTCTTCAAAGTCTTTATCAGCTGAGCTGGTTCGTGTGTAAATGGTATAGCAGTTGGTGAAGGTTTGCGCCCTCTTTGAACAGCCTGCGGGTCAACACTGCCAGAGGGATCTGATCCAGACATTTTGTCACTCACCACAGTGACTTGCCGTAACTCTTCGGAAGAGGACCCATATTCTCTTGTTCTTTCTTCCTCAGATGAATCTTCAATGGTGGGAAGAGGTTGTGATGGATGCCGATGTTTACCTTTCCTATGAGGTTTGTCAGTGATCTTCCGGTGACTTGGACTGCTATCACTGTCCTCCTCTATGGAAGAAGCTGATGTTGGTGAGGAGCCTGGAGTGAAGCTGGATGCCTGAACACTGGACGAGCCTTTGGACAATGACTCAGTGATGCTCTCCACTTCTTCATCGGTGCTTTGTCGTTGTCTCATAACTGGCATTGCTCTCTTGAATTCAGGGTCGGTAACTTCCTGAGATGTTTTTGTCACAGTTTTAGGATATGGTTTTACAGCAGATACAGTTTCCACACTTGTTGGTATTGTTATGGGTGCAGCATTGTCAACCACAACCTCTGGGACTTCATCTTCATCTTTTTTATTGTCAGAAAGTGACATCTGGTCCTCGTCGTGCATGCCCATTATCTGCTCGCGGATAAACTCTTCATCTTCTCCAGAAGAGTCAGCACTTTCTGTCTTCAAATCCTCGCTGCTTGATGAAACGTGGGTCACTCTCACCCTCCTCCTCTGTACTTTAGGTGAGGGGGTGTGCTCACTTTCACTGCTCTCTTCCATACCTTGGATACTTAAACGCCTCCTCTCAGTTTTTGCCGGATCTTTTGGAGCCAATGATGCTTCTTGTTTAATAGCATTTTCATTTGTATCACAAACCATTGGTGCACTCTTTATTTCTTCACTCATGGGTGGTACCTCTGGTTTATTTTTATCATTGGAAGGTCCTGTAAAAGGGCTATCAACTTTAGCTTGCTGCTTGGTTATTGGGGGCTTTTCCACCTCTTTAGTTGGCTCCTGCTTAGGTTCTTTTGCATCCTGTAAGCAGAAATATCAGCAACATTAAAGACAAGAAATCACTAAACTCTTTCAAAATACAATAACATTTCTAAGATCGCTCTGATAAAGCACTTGTGCTTTTTAGGACAATGTTTATGCCCTACTGTGTGCACCCATGTTACACAAGGAACTCACTGGTGAATAGTAATAATTTTTTTTTTTGAGAAAACTGTCAGAAACGCAAAACTCGACTTATCACCCAGCCCTAATCATGGTGCTTTATAAAAAGTAGTACGGTTACATTGTGATCAATGCTTTGTGTTTACATCAATCACCTATCCAAAACTACATGAAATACTTACATACAAAACACGGAATTTGAGTGAGATTAAGTTATTTTAAACCCTTAAACTAGAATATTTAAATAGTATCTCATTATCATATCTCGTTAAAAATGTTTTTATTTATTTTCTAAGTAATAACCTTCCTGCAAAGTATGAGTCTGAAATCGTGTTCTCACTCTCTATAAATAATTGATAATAAGAGCTCCATGGTTTAGACGTTAGACAAACATTTTACACATTGAATTGCGAGGAAAACTAACCTGAATTCCAATAGCTTTGGCGCCCTCCTCAGTGACTTCACTCTTGATTTCATCTGCTGACTCTGGCTCCACTTTGCACACTGCAGTTTGCAGTTTCGCTTCAACCTTGACATCTTCCGTATCCTTTGCTAATGTTACTACTTCCGACGGCTTTTTCTGAGCCACCGGCACCACTTCTGCCACTTCTGACTTTGGAATAGTGAAGACTGGCGCCACGGTTGCCTTCGTTGGCGGGATCGTAGAAGGCCCAGTTGGTTTCCCGGCTTCTTTTTTGTCTTCCACTGCTGCAGCTTTGGAAGCTTCAGTTGCTTTTTCAGGAGTAATAGTGATAGGTTTCGCTGGTGGGATAGGCTTTCCATCTGGAAGCTTTCCTGATATCGGAACAGTCTTTGTGACTGGAGTTACCTTTTCTACCTTGGCTTGCATCGGTGGAGTTTGCGGTTTGGGAGCGATTCCGGGCTTGGCTTTCACAGGTGGTGGTACTGGTTTTATCTCTGCTGGAGTCGTTGGCGGTTCTACCTTTTTGACCGGTGGAGCAGCCTGGGTTTCTTCCTTGACCCCTGGATGTGCTGGCTGAGACATCTTTCCAGGATCTCCAAGCTGTCCTGACAAGGCCCTCTGAGTCTGGCAGCTCAAGCACAGCCATTCCTTCTGCAAAACAATACAAAAAAGACAGGCTCAACTTTAAAGGGGGCCCATTACATGAATCAAGAGAACTTTAAAGACAGTGCTGCATATAGATCCAATAGGTGTTTACACAACCTGTAGAACAGAAGTCTGTTTATCTCCCTATACAAGTGCCAGCAGTATATGTGCTTTCTTCGAGCCTGTTTCACTTATTTAATCTGCGCTGACCGCGGGGGATGATTATGTAAAGCAGGGGTGCCCAAACCTTTTGCCTCCAAGGGCCAAAGTAAAAAATTGCCAGTGGGCCGCGGGCCAAATACACCGATATTATGCGTGAAACACAAACACATTTGATCAAGTTCCTTTAATTTTTGTTGAATAATTAAATGCATTAATCATTGTTTATCACTGCAAATCACAGCTGAATGAAGGAAAACAATGCACTCTAAGTGAAGTGGAGGCTCCAGGGAAATATGCTGCTTTGAGGAGACTACAGTACGGAAAGATTCCGGTCAGAGAATCAGGGTCCAGATGAGGGAGATTTATTTTGTAGTATATTTACAGGTTATAATCAAATATATATAATCATATAACAGCTATAAATTGGGTCTATAATTCAATATTTAAAAAATACAGCACTTAATTGGTTGCTCTTAAAAAGTTATAGTATAAACACAGACATATGGCTAAAGCTGCACATATATATCAACAAATCACACATTGTTCTTACTTTCTGGTCATTAACGCACACTGACACAGGCAACAAAATGAATGAATGAAGGCATGCGGCTGCGTGTTGCTCTGGCAATAGCTACGTGCTCAAGTACTGCAATATGCAAAATAAACCTAACACGAGGGGCGCACTTCTCTGCTTGGCTTTCCTATACTTTCCTACAAGCCCAAAAGGCTCATGGGAGATCCTCTCAAATTGATAAAACATAAAATTGCTCCCAAAAAATAAATAGTAGGCTGAAAAAAAATGAACATAAAGGTGCCTTGCACCCAATTGTTTTGATAAGTGTGTTTGATTTAAAAACATTTTAGTGCAAGTTGATGAGAACCATGAGTGAGGCCTGTATCTTGATACAACAGAAAAGTATCGGAAAGCAATAGGTCAAGCTGCGTGGAATTTACAATCAAGAATCTCTGGAATCTCTGGGAACTCCTTCAAGACTGTAGGAAGACCATTTCAGGTCACTACCTCTTGAAGCTCATCAAAAGAATGCCAAGAGTGTGCGAAGCAGATTCATACTTTTTTTTGAGAACGTACCTAATTCCACATGAGTTCATTCATAGTTTTGAGGCCTTCAGTGTGAATCTACAATTTTGATAGTCATTAAGATTAAAAACTCTTGAGATGGGTGGGTGTGTCCAAACTCTGTACTGTATATATATATATATTTTTTTTTTTTTTACAAAATGAACCAGTCTTACTTTAAAAGCCTGCCTGTCTATCAATGTTGGCATGTCACAATAAGTCACATCCAGGAATTATAAAAGGTAATAATAAAGGTCCTCCATGTCACAAATAAATTAACAAGAATAAACAAAAATGAAGATTGATTTGTATTAGCTCTGTCCATTTATCATGCCATTAATTAACTGTGGTTCACCCTAAATATCTGGACAATTATAGAGGTCAGAACCAGAGTCATCTATTTACTGCACAGAACATTTCACTAAATTAGAATAAGAAGAGAAACGGGGGTGTGTCACATTAAAAAGACTGTTCCAGATGGTCACTTGCATATCACAGATGTAATTTAATGCAAGGCCATGGAGAGACTTGTAGAAGCTGCTTCAAAATCTATTCTTTGAGCCACAAGAGGCCAGTGCAGAGACCTGAGCGCAGCTTGTTTGCTTTTTCTATATTCGTCACACTTCCCGCATTGCAAAGGTTCTATCTACTGTAACACAAACATCACAACATATCAATGGCTGCTTTGAGTTAGAATCATTTTTTGCACACTTTTTACAGTCAAGAACAATAGATGCATTGTGTCCAAGCACAAAACAGTGCAGGAAGATTTTTTCTGAGCTGGCCTGGGAAAGATTCCCCTGTATGATCTGTGTGCATTCAAGAGGAAGTTGTTTATTTGTTTATTTGGATGGGACAGTGTGTATTCATGAACAGCAGGAGCCTTAGATACGCCAGATTGTGACTATGTAGCTAATAATTATCTGTAGTCCCAAAGGCGCACTCACAAACACATGTTTTAGTGGTAGGTGGAGGTGGAATAGAGCCCAAGACCTTCTTGCAGTGACTATAACTATATACTGTAGCAAACCAAACTAAAATGTTTTCTTTAAGCAGAGAAAGAACATGTCTAAACACAATAACGCATACATAATTTCGCCATAAATCACATTATAATTTGTATATACATATTTACAACAAACAATCAATATTCTATTTTTCTCAAGTCGTAGTCACACCTGCAGCGTTTGTCATCCCCTTAGCTTTCCACCCATCATCAAAAGTGCTTACCTTGCATACGAACTAATCATATTCTACAAGCATGGCTAATAGTTTTCTAGGTAATCCTCCGCAGACACCCCAAAGCCCCATTAAGGCGGAGGAGAAAGCAGCATAGGAGCTGAGTGGATGTAAGCAGCAGCCTAAAGCACAGCAATGCGCCTGGCTCTGCGGAGACTGGTGAGAGCAGGGCTGGTGCCGAGAGCCGAGCAGCAGATTATGGGATGTTGATGCTATTCACATTTGTAAGACAAGACCTTAATGAATTTAATGGGGTTATGTCAAAGGGAGGGTGTATATAGTCGTTTGAGATGTGGGCTGCATCTGAATTCAGAAAATAATAGTAAGTAAGTAAGTAATCTTTATTTATATACCGCCTTTTCACTGCAGATCTGAGTCTCAAAGCGGTTTACAATTGTTAATTTTGTGGCATTTGTCTCTCACTCCACACAGAGATGGGAGCGGGGTCGCCAGTACGGCGCATGCCAGAACTATTGTACATATTTTTAGTGGTAGGGGAAACCGGAGTACCCGGAGGAAACCTACGCAGACACGGGGAGAACATGCAAACTTCACTCAGAAAGGCCCTGGTCCGACCGGGATTCGAACCCAGGACCTTCTTGCTGAGAGGCGAGAGTGCTATCCACTCAGCCACCGTGCCGCCCATACCATTTTACTTCCCTTGAAAACCTTATAAAACACAGTAGCCCTAGGCTTTTGAGGTGAAATATCTTTATATTTTTAAAGTCCAATTGGTGCTACAAAAGGTCAGGGAAAAGATGGACGAGAAATTAGGTAAGTAAAGAGTACATGTTAAGAATTTGCAGTGCAAGTGTGCAACTAAAGCCTGATTTACATGGCAGTATAATAAGGCCCATTTTAGCCCCAATTCTCCCTTTCCAACTATTTTAAGGATCCCCAATCGTCAAACGATAATCTCATAAAATATTCCTGCCATGTGTGATAAAACTACTTCCCATATCTCAGGGATTTTCAACATGGATCGACTACGCCTCATGTCTTGTCTTGTTTCCCGAAAGCAACCTTATTGATTGTGAAAAGTATAGCCAATCTGAAAGAGATGTGAGTTAGGTGACCTAGCGGCTTGGGGGATGTCGGAAGCCCAGAGTTAAACAACTGAAAGCTTAATGTGTTTTTTGTGTTTGTATTTAACAAAAAAAACAAATGGTATAACTAATTTGTCAATCCCTGAGCAATACTTCTTGTCAAAAATGGCTCCATACTTCATACCTAACATTTTTGAAACTCCAGTTTTTCAAATCATAGGGACTACGTGTTTCCTTATTGGTCCTTCCGTTTAAATCCTGTTCTGGTTACAGCTTCATATTCGTATTCACGATATAAAGTTATTTCCAACCAATATATTGTACATGCTTGGGCGTTTTGTGCTTGCCATCAGAGCCTTAATGTGAAGCACTCCACAAGTTTCCAACATATGGAAATGTAAAGGCACAATAAATGGAATTAAATGCGAAGGTACAAAGTAAGTATGTTTCCTTCTTAATTCTAGACAAATCGAACATTGCAGGATGAATCAGGACCAGTTTGGACTTCAAACTTAAGCCCAAACATGGCCCACTTTTGTAAGAAATACAATTTAAGTTGTTTAAAATCACCTTTAACCCTTTAATGGTTTGAGTCACTATATTAACTTGAAGTATGCTTGAAACTGAAATATACCTATTTGGGGATCTCACTTTTAGGCACTTTTACCCTCAAACTCAAACATTTGGAAAAGACCTATAATAAAAAAATTATAAAACAACTAATTATTTGTGTTTTTAGAGTTTCATTGCATTGGCTTTCTTCAAAGAGTGAACATTAAAGGATTAATGACAAAAGACATGCCCATAAGTGGCTCACACCCACTTTCTATTTAGTTTCCCATCCTTTCATGCCCTTGATTACAAACACTAAAACAGTATCATTTGATTTAGCATTGTGACATAGCTCCATGATGTGAAAATCAGTTATGTCAAGAAGTTCTGTTTTGTTAAAGGAGGAATAGTGAACAACATTTACATTGTGTTTGTCTCGTTTTGTCTTGTTTAAGTAACATTTTGTGAACAAATCAGACCACAGTATTCTGTCCTTATTTTATGAGAAAACATTATTTATCTTTCATATCCTGAGAACTGATTGGCTGAGGCAGGGCTGGTCCTCTCTCATTGACTACAAACGCTGACAGGCTCCACCCCTAACCCTAATGCATGTTTTTATTGCTCAGAATGTCCCCCAAAGATCTGTTTTCTTTTCATAATCTTTGATTGAGAGATGATTTGGTTGCTCAACGTTTTGGCAAAAGGCAAAAATAAACCAAACGAGCAAGACTGCAAACTGTCTGACATATAAATTGATTAAAAACCAAATCTCCATCCAAAGCGAAACTCATTTATTGCAGCGTGCAAACAAAATCCCACCGTTGATTCAGGAGAGAAGGGAAATAGACAGATCCAGATAAATATTAGCAGGCGTATAATAAATATCACTCCTGTCACAACTTAATCAAAGTGAAATTGAAGATCTG